GCACTGAACGAAGCTCACTAATTGGTTTATAAAACAAACCAGCACTGAACGAAGCTCACTAATTGGTTTATAAAACAAACCTGCACTGAACAAAGCTCACTAATTGGTTTATAAAACAAACCTGCACTGAACGAAGCTCACTAATTGGTTTATAAAACAAACCTGCACTGAACGAAGCTCACTAATTGGTTTATAAAACAAACCTTCACTGAACGAAGCTCACTAAATGGTTTATAAAACAAACCTGCACTGAACAAAGCTCACTAAATGGTTTAAAAAACAAACCTGCACTGAACGAAGCTCACTAAATGGTTTTAAAAAAAACCTGCACTGAACGAAGTTCACTAAATGATTTAAAAAAACCTGCACTGAACGAAGCTCACTAATTGGTTTATAAAACAAACCTGCACTGAACGAAGCTCACTAATTGGTTTATAAAACAAACCAGCACTGAACGAAGCTCACTAATTGGTTTATAAAACAAACCTGCACTGAACGAAGCTCACTAATTGGTTTATCTAATCAATAAATACCATCTCACCTTGATACAATACTTGATGCATTAAACAAATCACTGGCATAATTTAATGTTACTAAAGGTCTCATGGCACTATATCTGGTAAACTTGGAAAGACTCTCTTGAAATTCTTCCAACCCATCACACTGTGAACTACCTGTATCGAAATAAATATTCCATGTTATACTTAAACTTATCGAACATCAGATCCCAAATATATCTTAACATTATAATACAAGTTATCAATTAAAAAGAAATCCTTCAATATTTTCTGCATGACAAGATGATAAACTAATGTTTTTAAATTTACACTACTTAATATTTGGAGATACAGATTTAACTGCAGGGTGATTCTGTTGAGACATTATGTACACTTTGAACAGCTGTAAGGGCAGAGGTTAGTAAAATCATAGTAGTGTGCAACTTTTGTACCATCTTTGTATTATTTCATCCTAACATTTGATACAAAACAAGTATAGGGGATTTAGGTTTCTTTCAAGCTAAGCCTATTTATATACTTTACTACTTGTACAACATAACCAACAGCTTCCAATACAATTAAATTCGAAGACGAAAAATGAACATGACAAAACATATTATGCAAATAATGAACAAGTGCACCAAAAAGTACTGTTTAAAATTAGAAAATAGTTAACATAAAACACAGACACTATCAATTATTAACAGTTTAAAATAACACTAGAGGTAGCGATTAAGATACGAACATTGAAATAAAGCTCAAAAAATCACCTTTTCAATTGTTGAAAAAGCCAAATCTCACATAGTCAAGACATTAGCATTTTTCATCCCAAGTTTTATTTTTTTTGTTCGTATAGGAAATGATTCAAGACCACCAACTAGTCTACCAAAGAAAAAGTGTAAGTGGTTTTCCATTATTAAAGACGTTGTTTATACCAGAGATAGACAACATAAAGTTTGTGTAAAACTAAAATTGGTCTTAATAGAATTTTATTTTACTTGTACTTTACAAATATTGTTTTACACTCCTCCACTAAACTGGAAAAAATATATTTAAGTTGAACCTGGGTTAACATTTTTGGTAGTGTTGTTGGATGTGTGAACAGTAAAAGATATTGAGTGAAAAGATTGTAAATACTGATTTTATGTGTAAAAGTTAATACTGAAACACGAGTATGCCTTTTAGCCCAACCTCTAGTGGCTTATTCGATGACGAGGAACCCACTTTGAGACTAATAATGGTACCCGATGATGACAAAACCTTATCGAAACATTGTACATTTGCTGTTATGTTAAACTTATATTAAAGTTTTCTTCATTACCCATTCAAGCCATCTCCAGCCATTATTAGTCTCTAATGGCTTAGTCAACCTCTCAAGATAACTAGCAGGAACATTCTAAAAAAAAGGTGTCATGCTAAAAGAACAGATATGATATTGAGAATGTTCTTGAAGTCTTAAGCCTAATTATGTATATAACTTTATTTTGTGTGTCTATGCTAACTTTTTCTTAGTTATTATTACTAGAAATTTTAGAGATCTATGTTAGGTTTTTGCTTTTGCTAAGTTTATGTTTTTTAGGCACTTAAATAGCATAATTTTATTGCTCCCGGTTTTTGAAAAGTAAAAAAATTTGAAGAAAACGTTGTATGTTTTTGTTGTTTCATTGTTGTAATTGTGCTTTCTGTGAGTTGACCTTTCACCTATCCTGATCTTTCATTTTAAAATGGTCTTCTATTTATGAGAAAGCATTCATATTTTTCAGGAATTTGCTCTTTATACCTTTTTATCATGTCTGAATATGCTTTTTAACATATATTCTGAGAAACTGTGTCTATGAATATTGGACAAATGCACAGAACTTATAATGTTTCCTAAAAATGATAAAACAATTAAAAACTATAAAAGGACACACCACCATATATATCTTGCAAACTTCTTCACCTACGTTGATATGTAGTAAAATTGTAATTTGATGTAAAATTGAATTCTTTTTTTTTCTTTTCTCAGCTGTCTTTATTCAGCGGCCACCTAAGTGTTGCTTGTTCAGCTAATGACGAAACTCAGGCTATCTCTGTAGATAACACTGGTTGTGCTTCTCTCAGTGGTCTTCAAGACGGTTTCAACGGAAGCCGATATGTAAGTGTTAATGGCTGAATATCTCACATTCTCGATGCATAATTACAAACAAACAAACAGATACTGTTTAATAAGTTTATCCCAAGTTTCTTGCAATTTGATTAAGTATTTCCACTGTAGTAAGGAAAAAAAATCACAGTGACGCATTCACACAACCTGGTCTGCAAAGGGCGTAATTTCAGTGGTTTACATATTAAAGAGGTTGAAAATAGCTCTGCAATAGGGCAAAATATTGTTGTGGTTGTAATTTCTTGAAGCTTATAAATAGCTCCATTATATCCATTACCGTCATTGGCTTCTGCTTTTATGTAGACTGATTATGAAATATAGCATTGTTCGTAAAGTGAAAACATATACTTATAAATATGTACTTACAACTTCTATATTGAAAATCATTTGTTACTCATTTTCTATGATACTTATCACATTTTCTTGTTCCATAGAGGATGCATTGATTGTGTAATTAAATTGTTTGTTTTTTCTACTTCTTTTAGGGTAGTAAGCAACATTGGTTGCCAACTACAGTAGCAGCAAGGAGAAAACGTATGAACGTACATTTTGAAGACTTGCAGCAGTGTTATTTCTCGTCTCGAAGTAAAGAAATTCATTTGAATTCCTCTGGTTAGTGATGTATCTGTTGTTGTCCAAATATTATGTGAAAACTGTTTATAACTGTTTACGTTTTCCTTTGTTTTACATGGTTATGAACAATGATTCTCGGTGCATCATTTCACCATCATTGAGAATATCTCCATGTACTGTTTCACTGTTGAAACGTAATTATTACTATTGGTATTATTTGAAACTGTTAAGAACTTGTAATGGCAAACTCATTGTTAAAGTAGTTGATATCCCCGTCTTTATAAACTTTTCATTTTTAAAAACAAAATGCTAAACTCCAGCTTACTTTTCTTTGTGTAACACCACTTGTTAATGATAATATCGCTGCCTTTCTTTACTTTAATGTCTAATGATAAATTGTATAAACTTGTAAGTTGCAAAGTTTTTCTGATTTGTGAATTGTTATTTTTGCTTTGATTTGATTTGATTCTGATTTGTGAATTGTTATTTTTGCTTTGATTTGATTTGATTCTGATTTGTGAATTGTTATTCATGCTGCTGATAGCATATGAGAACTTGAAATTCGAACGTAATTCAAATGAAACAGCTTAATTGTCAAATCTAATATGTATAAATACTGTTTGTGAAAAAGGAAGACGGTTTTTCACCAATGAATAAATAACAAAGTTTTGTACATGTGTTTGAAATTAGAAGGGTATTATATATTTATTTTGAATTCTTTTCTTGAATTATTGTGGATTGGTTACAAGTAGAAAGTTTGCATCTTCAGTTATTAAAAATTGAGATAGTAGCCCTGACTTGTTTTGTATGTTTTAATAATTTTTTTTATATAGGATTGTAAAGCAACCCAGCTTCAATTACTTAAAGAATTTTTGGAACAGATTCGGAAACAAAAAAAAGATGTAAGACCATGATATTTTATATTTATTGTAAAGAATTTCAATTTGTTTTTTTTTTAAGCCTAATGTATAGTATATGGTAAATAAATGTATAATGTTTAGTAAAAGTTTAAAAATGTGAACCTCATTCAATAGTTTGAACATTATAAATTAATCATTAATTATGTAATTGTTCATTTTAAAAATTCCTGAAAGTTTATAACTGAAAACTTACAAAATGTAAACCTGAATAGGAAAAAAATGTTTCTGGAAAAAAAAAAAAGTTTCCATAATAGTGATCAGTAAAGTTGTATGCATCTTGGACATTTTTTATGTTTGATTGCAGCTGTAGCAACCATGATGTTATTACTTTTAACCCGTGTTTCGTGTACAAACCAACATAAGTTTAATTGTACAACCTACACTAGCCATGTTGCAAAGATATTCAAGTGCTCCGAGCATTAAAACAATGGTATGCCATTGAATTTTATTGCATTACATTTTGTCATTGGCTATAAATTCTCAGAGATATTTCGTAATTCAAATTTGTTTTGTATACTTTTTTCCGTAGGAACTAGACCAGATAAGCAAAGAAATAGACGTCATTGATAAGGATACTAAACATGTGGAAGTACGTTGTTTATAAATCTATAACTCTTTCTCAACATTTTGGTATTATTACATGTGAACATACACTTGTTGTGAGATAATTCTATTGAAATTAAACTGATTAATTGTTATTTTTAGTTTAATTTATATGTGTGTGTGAATATGTATGTATGTATGTATATGTTTTGTTTTGTAAACGTTTCTCCAGCACCATTTTAGCATTGCATAAATGACAAAAATGATTTCAGATTTCCAAACCAATCAGATTTGGAGCTAGGATATAGACAGCACTAAGTTATAGATTGTCCAGTACACACTTTCAAGGTTTATGGATTATATTGTGAATAGGAAAAGTATGAAATAGCTTAACCAACAGTAAGTTTTGTGTTTCACCGTAGAAAGCCCAAGGGGTGTCAAAGCTTCAAGAATTTCTTGCTCAAGAAGGAGACAAGCTGAATCTTGCTGATGTCAACTACATGCTTGAGATGCTGTCACAGAAAAAACAACAGTTAGAAGCTGTAAGGGAGCATTTTGTTGTCATATTACTGTGTTTCTACTAAGAGTACTTGATGTCAAGAACTTGAAATATTTTCTATTTTTCTCTCTCTGGTCAACAAAATCAAAGATGTAATTACATTTTTCTAGACCAACTTTGCACGCTGATTCCAAATCTGTTTTCCGTTTTCTTCTAGCACATCTAGTTATCGAAATATGACTGGTATTAATTTCAGCACAATTTAGGTAATAATCACACATTAGGTTAGTTAACGTTACAACTTTATTCATTTTTCAGTATAAACGTTATACACGTCATACACTTGGTTAAATTTATACAGTACACACTTATGAAAAAAGAAATGTACAACAACTTAAATTATAATTAAGGCAATAACCTTTCAAAGTTGATTTATCTCACCATGAAAACCTGACGTGCTAGAGGGAAACCAAAAACAGATTTTGAATCAGCGTCCCTAGAGCTATTTGGCCCACCTATAATTATATCTGATGACTTGTTGGCCAGTGTTATTTATTACTTGGTTTATATCATTCCATTGATTTGGTTCAGTCTAGGTTTCTGTATCAGAATGGTTAAGAGGAAATGTAGAACCTTGTTATATTGCTAATCATGAAACACTTTAGTCCTAAAACTTCACTGACATGTTGCCCATTAATACGCTGAAGATCATGTTATCTATCTGAGTTGGGTATTGGCCAGTAACCTAATGAAATGCTATGTTATTGCCGCACAAGCTACAGAAAATTTATCTAAAAGAAAAGCTGTTGAATTGTATATTTTACTGATAAAAAATATCAGTTTTTGATTAACTCGTTTATTAAAGAAAATAAGTGGTATACTTTGAAACAGAACACCAGGTAAACAAGTTTCCATGTATTTTTTTCTGATATATCATTTTTGTTGTTGTTGTGTTTAATTGTTATGAAATTTGATATCCACAATTTAGATCCATTGTTATTTTGGAGATTAAGTTAATTATTCAAGAAGTGGGATAATTTCTCTGTATAAATTGTAATCAATGGAAATCTGGTTCAGCTATAAATTTTGTAAGTGGCACAGTTCCCTTTGGAGGTGTTAAAAAGTCAGGTTCAAAAATTAATTATTTATTGGTTAAATGAATGTGTCAAAAATACGTAGTTTAGGCTAGTGATGCATGAATTTGAGTGTGGGTTTTACCTCAGCTTTTGAAACAATTTAACCATCGTGGATTTTTCTTGGGATTTGACTATAAACAATAGCAATTTTTAGTATTAATTAGGGATGCACGGGTACCCGGCCAGATATTGGGCTACTCTGTAATACTTCGGCCGAGTGTGGAAGTTAGGCATCTAAGCCCTAATCTTTGTGGCAACTAACGCAGTACTGAAAGTTATAGTCAATAATTGGTTTAGTTATAAAAAAATGTATTCCGAGCAACAAAAACTGACCATCCACTGAAAGTTGGGGATTTGGAGAACAATAGGGGTTAATATCAGGCATGGCTTGAGAAGTGGATTTCTGGGAGAAGGTGGGGGTTCTGAGAACAATAGGAGTTAGGGTTTGAGAAGTTGGGGCTAGGCATTGAAAGTTGAAAGTAAAACTTGAATGTTTTGTTGGTGATTATTTGGTTAAATGTAATAAACATCAGTTTTGTTTTAGTTTCTAAATTTTTTGCATGTTTTGTTTGGTGGGGGGGGGGTGAACTTGGCCCTGGCCAAAGCTTAATGACCAGGTACCCGGACCCGGTGTTAGGCCAAATTTTACTAATCGTGCATCCCTAGTATTAATGAATAACAATTAGGTAACATTATTTTTTTAATATCTTCAGTTAATGGATTAATGTATCCATTAGTTGAAAGCAAAAACTGAAATAATCTTTTTAAAGATTCTTCAGGGTTATTTCTAATGTATTTTCCGTCTTTTCATATTGTGTACTTTTGCCATTAAAAACTTCCAAAATATCGTATATTTTCATATCACTTAAATTTTTTAATTTTAATGTGTGAAAAATGACAAATATGCCAATATAAAGATTACAAGTGAGTTGTTAGTATAGCAACTTGGCTTTCAAATAAACTTTTTGATACACCAAGATTCCAAAGTATCCTCACAACTTTAGCCATCAGCACCAGAGAAACTAAAGAATGATCAGGTAGTGAAAAAGAAATTATGTCATCTTTCTCAAATAAATTGTAATGGTATTTTAAAAGGATACAAATCTATTACAAATGTGAATCAAATAAATGTAGAGAGCATAATATTTAATTACACATGCAATAAAGTTCAACTTTCTGTGTGTAGATTAGAGAAATGAACAATTTCATTTGAACAAAGAACAGAAATCCATCTTGAGTTCTTGTCACGGGTATCTTCTATTGGAAAAGAAATTAGCTCGAAAAATAAGACATCAATTTAAACACAAGTCATTAGATTTGCCACTTAAGGCTTAATTATGTGTGGTCTGAGAAACTTAACATTTGTCTGTGGTATTTCAACCTTGATAACCTCTGGTATACCAGAAAATATCGCAAATAATTTTTAATGCTGCAAAAAATTAGCTTTACCAAAGACAGGATTGCCATTTTCTTTATGTTTAGAATTTATTAAGCTAAATATAGTTTATATCACAAAAAATCTCTTTTAAATGGGCTTTGTTTTGTTGTTAGGTATTTGTTTAAACCAAATTTTATTTCATCCACATAAACTTGGCATTTATACAAGCGTGTTTAAGCATTTTTATAAAAAAAAAGATTAACTCTTTCACTGCAACTTTTACAGATAACAAAACTCTCCCAGTGCCGGATTTATTTCAGTAAAAAACAAAAAGATGCATGTTAAATATTTCCTTATATATCTGAAACGAGTAAACTTTGGGAAATTTGAAAGGAGAATACCTTTCGTTTGTGGTGGTACATAATCCTGAACTCACATGCCAGTGCTCTATAGGAGTTACGTGCATGCCCACGGTAATAATTGGGTAAATCGTTTTTTCTGTCCACATACAAGTAAGACCTGGAAATATGAAGTGTTAGAGCTGCTTAGCTTTTTAAATATTTTTTTGTGTTTTCAGACTTTATCATGCTGAATCTGTATTTTTTTTTTTTATTCGTGTTAATATAAACTGCAAATTTCTAAGTTAATCTATCATTAATCCTACCAAGTTCTGTAAACAAATTTCTAAGTTAATCTAACATTAATCCTACCAAGTTCTGTAAACAAATTTCTAAGTTTATCTATCATTAATCCCAGCTGTTAAAATTTTTTCTCCAATTAGTGTTATTGTTATTAATGAACACCTTTTAACAAGACGATTTTTTTTTATCAAACTAGACTTAACCGGTTTACAAAACTTGGTAGGATTAATGATAGATTAACTTAGAAATTGGTTTATAGAACTTGGTAGGATTAATGATAGATTAACTTAGAAATTTGTTTACAAAACTTGGTAGGATTAGTGATAGATTAACTTAGAAATTGGTTTACAGAACTTGATAGGATTAATGATAGATTAACTTAGAAATTGGTTTACAGAACTT